AAATACTGTACGAAAAAAATTGTGGATAAATCTCTATCGCAATATTTTGAAATTAAGAAAGAATTTAATGTATGTTGTAAACATTGCAATCTTAAAATAAGCATATTTTACGGAATACATCCTTTAAGGTACACATTTATTTTCAAAAATATGTAATTCGAAGTATCAACTTGAAGATAATAACATGAACAGAATGGGACAATAATCTATACTCGAAGAAAATACAGGCACAAGTTCCCATCACGACATAAATAAGCAAACTCCTCGACATCAAGATCAACAAAGATAACTGTTATGTAATAAAAATATTAACTTTTTTTTCTTAAGTTATTAATATATTATGTATACTTTTAATATGTTACAAATGTATTATATTACTTAATTTACTTCAACATTTCGCAATCGATATGAAATACTTAAGCTGCAATAATCGCAGCAATTACACTATTGGCATATTTTATAGCAACACAGAAATAAATGACTTAAAATCTCAATATCAATATCATGTAAATGAATATTTGAGATTTAATGTAGAAATTGTAGGTAATAATGTATACAGAACGATGTAACAATCTGCAGCTGCAAAAAATTTGGCTACAAGTTATCATCGTGAAAGTAAATCTCGGCAAATACTTGGAAATCAAGAAGATCAACAGAAGTAAATAAAACTAATATCAATATATTTTATTCTTTTAATTATTAGTATATTCTTATAAGCAATTAAAGCAACAAAATTGAACATTTAATGATTAATTATATTTATAATTTTGAGTCAAACATTTAACAAATATGATTTGAATGTTATATTTATGAACAAATTAAATAATATTAACTAATGAATATATATCAAGTTCTGAAGGAAGTAATAAGGATGTCATAATACAATTCCTTGCTCACAATGTTTCGGGTGTAAGTTCTCCTAATGACAGTACAAACTGGCAAGCTCTTGGATATCAAATAGATCAACAGAGGTATGTGCTACTAATTTAATGTATCAATTGTTACTAATATCAAAATCCGTGACTGAAAGTTCTATAAAAAAGGTCTCGAAAGATTTAATTGTCAATGTCTGCACGTTACAAATAGATATTCAAAATTTCAAGAAAGGACTAACGTTAAAGAGTAAATAAAAAATAAGAAATAAAATAATATAATATAATGTATATAGAAAAAAATCTGTATATATACCTATAACCGTATATAATGTGTATATAAATAAAAAAATAATATAATGTATATAGAATGATGCATCAATCAGACTATAATATTGTAAAGATGTTAATATTTTATTTTTTTAAAGTTATTAATATATTATGCAAAATAAAAATAACATTACAAAATTAATATTTAAAGATATGATACACTAAATTTTAAAAATTTTAATTACATATTTTTAACGTTATATAATCAAATCATATAAAATTGTTTATATTTAAATCATGTTCTGTTAATTCAAATGTACCATTACATACAGGATGTCCCCTTTTAATTACCGCAGAAAATATAATTACAGCATATTTCAAAAAACATATTTCAAAAAATATGAAAAATACGTAACATTTTAAACCAAAGCATAATTTGAAAATGGACAAATAATATGCCTGGGAAAAAATGTTTTATATATAATTATATAAAATTATATATAAAAAATATATTTTGCATTGTAATGTACACTGTTAAAAAAATAGAAATTTACTTCCTTTACATGTAATGGAAGCAAATTTCAAGCAGGTACATTAAAAATATTTAATAATGTTGTTAATGAAAATGAAGTTGTAAGTAACTTAATTACATTAAATTTCATGTAAATCTACATAAAATTTAATGAAAAATGTACTAAACTCCGTAAAATTTTATGAAAAGTACACTAAATTTCATGTACATGTATACAAATATTTTCAGTTGCAAATACATTTTTAATTTAGTATCATAAAATTGAATTTAATTTATGTAATTTAAATATGTAGTGTAAGTAAAAATTAAATTTCATGACATTTTTAACAGTGTAAAGCAATATGATGATTAAGGCAACTTTCTTATAAAGACATTTACAGGCTGTGTTTCATTAGAATTGATTATGAATTAATAGAGTATCGTTAAAGATTTGAATTTTGTTTATATCAATTTTACAAATTTAGTAATATATTTTAATGTTATTATAAAACTAATGTAACTGAAACATCTCAAATATCGTATTTGTATTTGTTTGAAAGTTGATATGTATAATTGTAATATGGTTAACGAAAAAGGAACACATTTTAATTAAGAAGATATATTTTCAAAAGACCTTATTTATTTAATTAGAGATATGTATCACTTATTATAACAACCTGTCTTGTCTTTTCTTTTTTTTTTATTAACTTATCTTTTTTAACATTAAACGTTTTCGAAAAGAATGAATTTTTTAGCGTAACAATATTTTATAATAATTATTAAATATCTTAATATTCGCAATGTCTTCACACTTGAAATTACGCTTATTCTTACTTTCTGATTTAAGTTTATGAGCCCAGTTTACAAGTAATAGTGTTCAATATTCATTCTTATTTTTTATTTAGAAGTAAAAACGATAAAATTGAACGTAAATCTTTTAACTTTAATATCTTATAGTACGATGAAATTAATAAGTCATTAAAATATACTAAATATGAAAAGTAATAATGAAATAAAATTTATATTTTTATGACTTCATTTTTTTTTTAATGCATCATTAAGGGCTCTTACAAACGAGCTAATGTTCCTATAAAAAATGTTCCTATTATTATACGAACATTAAGACGAGCGACTTTGTAACACCACAATCGAAAGCGTTGAGCCATTTATACGGAACTAAGTATATTCTGTGATGTTACAGAGAAACGAACAAGTGTCTCCGCGACACTTTTCTTCGTAACTTCGTACGTGTTGGCGTTTTCGATTGTGGCGCGACGAAGTCGCTCATTTGCAGGAACCCTAAAAAACAAAAGCTGTAAATACGACAATCAATTAACATGTTGGGCATTTTGCCCCCTGTGTGACCAATATAAAATTTTCAGGTGTGATTATGAAGGGCTAAAAGCATTAATATTACTTATGTAGATCAAAATGTAATGATGCAAAATGTGTTAAATAAAGAAAAAATTTTTTTAAACACTCAAAAGACTTTTAAGCTTACAGACATTTTTAATATTTAAAATATGACTCGAAATTTTTATCGTGTATTTTGATTCGTCATTTAAGGAAAAACCGTTGAAAAATAAACGAAAATTTATATCAATACTCTATCAAGAAATTATTATGTAATCCGTAATTAATCGCCTTTAGAACGTCCTGTGTAAGATAAAAAAGTAGGTTAAAGTAGTTATTTGAAAAAGATAGAAATACATATGTATATACTTATTCACTGTTCCTTTATTATTTGTTGTTGTTGCTTAGTTTCTTATAACTTCTTTCTATATTTCTGTAATAATCGCAACAGTATAAAAATATTGTACATTAAAAATGCGCGAGCGAGAAAGTCGCTCGGATAAATAAGCAAAATACAAATAGCATCGAGTCAAGGGAATGGATAGTGAGATGTCGTTTCGCTTAAAGTCTTCGTTAAAAATCGCAAGATTATTTACAAAGCGCTTATCTACGATCGTGTTACATGGTATGTAACGCGTATATACAGAAGCAGGGAAAGATGTATATTACATTTGGTGCGGAAGGTTCATCGTGCTTCTCAAATAAAATTAAAAATGCATTCAAATCGCAAAATCGGAACAAGATTTCAAGTTTCTTTTTTTTCATTTAGAGAGAATTTGTTTAATCTCCGATTTAAAAAGTTTCTGGTCTTCAAACTTTACTTAATGCGATAATTTCTTGAGAGAGAAACGACAAACTTTTCGCATCAATCGTGATAATGCGTGATACACAGCACTCGCCGGTTCGCGTCGATATACCACAGGATGAATAAATTATTGCATTTATCCGGCCACGTGGTGTCAGTTCCACGAATCGTAAGAAAACATACGTTCGAACTGAACCGTAGAAGAGAGCCTACATGAATTCACAGCATTCTTATTTTGCAACGAAAATAAATGTAACTGCTTATGTAACGTCGCAACGCAAATAAATGTATATCTCTATATTACAGCAAAGAGCTGCGTGATACGAACGAGCCAGGCGGGATCGCTTCCTTCCTTCCTTTCTCGTAATGTCGTAAATTATAGCTCTGTGTTACATTCGTATTTAAAATATATACTAAGTAATAGTTTTGTGCACCTTTGTCGAGCGACTGAATACGGTTTTTGTACAAATCAGTCGCGGCGGTCATTTTGCGAGACCTTCGAGAAACAGAGTCACTGTTACTCCGAATCTCTGAATCTTGTCGCTTACGCAGATAAGAGATGTGGTCTACATATTATATTTTTCGTCGCTTTATCACGCTTGTTATATTTCAACATGTATTCCGTTTCGTATTAACCGGAGATTCGGCAAACGAAAACCGTGGTAGAGCTGAGGAAAATCTCGAGAAATAATAAAACGGCTGATTTGTACAAATCTCTAATTCGTTTGGCAAAGCTACACAAGACTGTTATCCGAATAATAGTCTTTCCTCAGAGAAAGACAGTTAAATTGATACAATCAGCAGTAGTCCATTACTAATACAAGTACATGGAACCATTGTCTGGAAGCTACGCGCGGAGCCTTTTCTCGATATAATTAAATCTATATAAGCAGTTTCTTTAAATTATCCCTTCTTCCTTTTAAACGACATCTTTCTCGTACTAATAATACTACACGAAATTATTACTTGAAAACTAGGCTGCCTCGAGGCAGTTAAACACAATAGCGATAAGTTTCTTTAAACTTTAAATCCTTTTCTTTCTTTTAAGTAATTATATTCATATATTGGGTTTGGTTTAAAAAGTATCCGCGGTTTTTTTCATTCAAAAATTGAACAAAAAACCGCGGATACTTTTTAAATGACCTAATATTTAAAAAAAAAATACAAGACACATCTGGAATTATTCCCGCGGAAAATCGAAAATCTTTGCAATCGCCGGTGCGATGATGTCAATCACATCCTCGACGATTGGATCCTCAAAACATTGTTTTGTAGATACATGGTGAACATTTTGTCAGCGCCCTGACAGATGAGTCTTCGCTCGTTCGCTCGCTCGCTCGCTCGTGAAAATTATTTTTGGGGATACCAGCAATGATATACCAACGCGAGAGAAACGGTGTTTGAGAGAGCTCTTTCGGATTGTCCTTGGATCCATGCGTCGCTGCACGGCTCTCGTTGTCTAAGGCTCCCGCGAAGCGAAGCAGCTGTCATGGTCATTCTCGTTTTTCTTTTGCCGCCGCCACGTCACGGATACATAGGATGCAGTCGGAGAAGCCGGGACTGTCCCGAGGGAACCATCAGGGAAACGTTCGAAAAATTGTCGGGCTTGATCGAGTTGGCAGAATCTCGAATGGATGCTCTCTCAGAAAATTAAGATCGAAAGTCTCTCTCAGCCTCTCAACATTTTGTTTGTTAAAGCTGCAAAGTTCCGACTTCTCGAATGGAGTAATCTGCTGAATAAATCAGTGAATTATAATTCCGGATATACGGATTATTCAACGACTGCAAGATGGATTTTTAACGGTCAACTCCGGTCTTAGATCGGGCGACGTTCGTCCCGTCGACGAGGACGGACGCATCAGGTTTGTTTTTGCAGCTCTGCGAGGAGCGTCATCGAACGGGGGTGCCCGAAAAGACCCTGCCGGAGGAGCCAAGGGACGCCGAACGTCTCGGATGTGTCTTGGCTAATTGAATTCAAAGAGATTTATGGTCGGCACCGGGACATTGCGCGACGAATAAAAAGTAAGGCACGGAGGAGAGTAGCGCGGTTAGACTCGCTGTCGAGATTCTCTCAGGACTGTCGCTGGCCGAAACGTAGATAAATGTTTTTACCGGGCCAATTAACGTTAGCGGAATAGCGAAGAGACCCGGCCGGTGCTAATCGCGCGAACTCCGGACTAGCGTTCGCTAGATCTCAGTTAATCGTGGAACGTAGGAAGAAAAAGGAGACGCGGAAGATACGCGAATGAGATAACAATATTAATGACAATTTGGCGAACTCGTGATATTTCTTCGCCCGTAATATCATATATTTCGCGATCACCTCATAATTCGTATTGTTATCTTGTATTAACATATTTTTAAAGCTGTTTCGCGACTAAAAATATCGCCATTGACAGAAAAATGACACAAATAAAAAATTAGCATTAGGATTGCAATGTTGGAATTTAAAAAGATTCATGATACAGTTTTAAAGGAGACATATAATAAAATTAAACGCATATAATTAAAAAATTAATATTAGTTGACCGAATTTGGAAAATAATTTGACATAATTTTAAAAAATGTATAATATATAGTTACACACACACACACACACACATACACACACACACATATATATATATATATATACACACATATAACTGAAAGTAAAAATTAGTATTAGTCATTCGAATTTGGAAAATTCATGACACAATTTTTAGGAATAGAATTGAATACATATAATTGAAAGTAAAAAATTAACATTAGATGCAATGTTCAAATTTGAAAAACTGATGATAAATATGATTTAAAAAAATGTATCTATTTGAATATATACAATTAAAAGTATAGCACAGAAAGATAGTGAAGATAGATACATTCACCGCTCCCAATTACAATTTCGTATCAATTCAGAATTTAAAAAATATACTGAAAAGTTGTACCAATTTTGAAATATGTTACTTTTCTATCAACGATATATTATCAACTCAGAAACGTTACGATAATTAGAAAAATACTAAATATTTTCTAATGCGACGCGAAAGTCTCGTTTATATGAGATCCGCTCGACCGAATCGCCTCTTTCTCTGCCTCTCGGTCGCAAGATTTTTTTTTTCGCGAAGATTCACTGTCGCGATAAGGCTCGAGGGAACGCGGGAAAAGAAAGGAAGACGGCTCTTCGATGCGGCGCGTCTTCGTTAAGCGGTTTAAAACGCGGCCGAAAGTTTGCTTTGACCGGTTTAAAATAACTAACGCCATTCGGAATATTCACGGTGCGGCCGCGCGAGTACCGGAGCCACGCCGCGGTTGTTTTATATGTGTTACGCGACGAGGGAGCCCCGACTGTCATCTCGAGAGAAAAAAATAATATTGTGCCCGACCGATGGGCGCCGAAATGCTCATTAATTCTTCTTTCCTATTTCTTTAGGGAACTATTAAATCGCCGTGGATGTGCGATTGGCATCTCATAGACGAACACGCACTGACCAAAAAATCGTTCATTCCATTAAATTTTTAATCTTTATTTCTTTCAATGAATAATGTATGTACTTAAGTCGAACATATTATTAGGTGCGCAACTAAGTTCTCGCTGTTATTTTCATGCAAATGCTATCAAAATAACAGCGAGAACTTAGTTGCGCACCTAATATATTTGACTATACATACATACAATACATTCTCCAACGAAAGAAATAAAGACGAACTAAATTAATTTAATCGAATAAACATTTTTTTCTCAGTGTGACAATTATTCATTAAATGTCCTTTTCAATGAAACCTTTTATTTAAGGAGATATATTTCATTCGTTCAAAGTATTTTCATCATAAGATAAAGATGTCGATAAAGCCTGAAGATTTTCGGAAACTTATGCATTGAAAGTAGTTATATTTCGCCCCGCGCGGATTATTGGAATATAATTTAAAATGTTTTACGTCCGAATAAAACGAGAGGTACTCGCGGCGTTCAGTCGCGGGGTTTACTCGAGACGGTTTATCGACGAAAATTCGCGGCGAGAGCGCTCGCGAGGGCGAGCTTATGAGACTCGATAAATCGTCACGCAGAGATTGTTTGGACAGACCGGGTAAACGCTCGTAAATCCACCGTTAACGGGCTGCAACGCGCTCTCGAGAGGTAGTCAAAACGGAAAATGGACGCGGGGGAATCCCGACGATGATCGACCGGTCCATCGTCGCGAACAAAATTGTTCCGAGAGCAAAATCGACGGCTTCGTTCTGCGGATTCGGGAAAAGAAGTTTGGCCAAGTTACTTGCGTCAAGCCTACAATTGCGTAAGCGTAGTTGTAAGAATTCACCAATCGCAGCCGAATACGAGAAGAATATTCGATTGTGATTGGTCAATTCTTGTAACTACAACCACTCACACAACCACTTACTATACTTACGCAATTGTAAAATAGGCTTGAAGCCGTGATTAAATTAGAAATTGAAGTTGGATTGGAATTTATCCAATCAAAGCAAAAGTCACTAAATTTGAGACTAGTTTTCTTTTTTCCGATTGGTTAAATTCCAATCATTGCAAATCCAAGTATATAAAAAGTGACTACAGTATATATATATATATATATATATATATATATATATATATATATATATATATATATATATATATATATATATATATATATATATATATATATATATATATATATATATATATATATATATATATATATCATCAACTTTTTGTATAAAAATAACACTATTATTATACGTTTAAAATATGTAAATCTATTTTTTAATGCAAAAGATATAGTGTATTATTTTTACACGGAAAACCAATATCATACATATATTATAGTCACTTTTTACATACATAAATTTGCAGCGATCTCAATCTCAATCTCAATCTCTAGTCTGATCACAGCTTAATAGCAGTTGGAGATTATTGAATATTCCAAAGAGGAGAAAACAGAAGGTGGGGAGGGGAGATTACAAGATGTAATTTCGCTGATTGATGCAGATGCGTAACGCATGGCGTGGGCTAATAAGCGCGTGCTTTTGCGGCCGCCACCGTCGGCCGTATCGGCGTCCGAGTTGTCGCACTGTTAATAGTCCGACGAGAAGACGTGAATTATTGGCCTACCACGAGCGAGCGAGCGAGCGAGCGAACGATGCCGCGTCGCTGAGAATCAGCCGGGACAGAATTAACCGCGTCGTGAATTGGGTTTCAAAGACTGCGCCGGAAAGAGATGCGCGTGTTATTACCTCGCAAAACCAATCCGCGGGACAATAATCCATCGCGTGCGAGATCATCCCATCGAGAGTTGGCTCTCCTGATCTTCAAATCGCACCCTTGGCGCGAATCAATTTCCTTTCTTTAAATCAAGCTGTACGGCAAAATGAATTAACGAGCGAGCGTTCGAATTTCATCTCTTTCTCAAGTTGCTTTCAATTCACACACATACACACAGGAATCACAGAGTGCCTCGGATCTACCGTGCTTCATATCGTAAACCTTCATTCTGAAAATAATGGATCCCGTAAAAAGAAACTAAGCGAGAGTCTGAGAGTGTAATGCTGCAGGGACATTTTAATCGTACGTGGTATTTTTGATATCGAGTGGCTTATTGGATTTCAATGATTTCAAATAGAATCTTTATTATGTGTGGAATAAACGTGAAAATATATTTTGAATAAAAGTTTCACAGTTTCGGAAAGAAAATATAAAGTATCTTGTAAATTATTCATTTTTCCTTTTTTAATATCTTTGTAGATATATTTGAAATTTATAATTATGTATACATTTTTTTTAAACAATTATGTGTTTTGTTTACATCACCTAATTTATCTTATTATTCTGTACGTAAATAAGCATCAAATTAGGTCATTAAAAAATGAATATTTTTTGAAATATTTTATATCTCAAAATAATTAAAAAAGACAAAATAAAAAAGTATAAAATTTCTCGTAAGCTTTTATTACTTTTTTCAAAAATTTTTAACTTTTTTTATATTTTCGTGAAATAAACTCGTAAAATAAACTATTGATTGTTACTTTTATTCTAATACTTTCAAAAGTTATACGGACGAGACTCAACTGTTCACTAATTGTGTAGATAGCGAAATTATAAGACCACTGTTTTGTCTTAAGTTTTAATTTGTCTATGATAATAATGATATCGTTATTGCTAATAATGATATCGTTATATAATAATGATTATCGTTATAATGATATCGTCATTGCACAGCTTTTTTATCATATGTAAAAAATCTGCGCAGTGACAATAGCTCTTTCATGTTGCTTGCACTTTTCACTTAGCATCTTCGTTTTCTCTCTCTTTAATGTCCGAATATATGTTTATCTCATTTTAAACAAAAAAATTTTTTGAGATTTTAAGCAACGCGAACGGACCTATTGTAACGATATTGTTACTGCCATTAAAAGTTACAGAATGTGGGCTAAAGTCGCCGATATTAGTGAATGTAGTTTTATATAACGCCTGAAATTTATTTGCAGTATGGATTTCCGACAAAGAAATACTTTTTTTATTAGCATTGCTACTTATTGTTAATCGTAAAAATTGAATCACTTTAGTGCACTTTGTTTCCATTACTTTTAATGATTGAATTCGTGTACCATGTATAAGAATGCCAGCTATAAGAATGATAGAAGATATCTAACAATACACCGACGATGTAAATATTTTATAATAAACATCTTCTATATAAAGAATTTATTTCGTATATTTCCTCGCGGCTGTGAAACTTTTGTTTAAAATTTTTCAGTAATTTCGTGTATAATAAAAATATCTTACAATTAGATTATTAAATATTCCATTCGATATATCATTTTCCTTTGGTAAATTCATTTTTTTGGTAAAAATTTTTTGGTAAAAATTCTTTGGTAAAAATTCTTTGATAAAAATTCATTGGTGAAAATTCATTAGTAAAAATAATTTACTTAATGTAAACAGTAATGTGTTTAACATGCTTTGGCATAAAAAAATAAATTTATAACCAATATGTACATATCTACACATACGCACACAATTTTTATATTAACAATTAATATTTTTATATCATTTATATATCAGTGGCAGAAGGTCACCACTCTGATAAGAGACAACGAACTTAAAAAAATATACAAGATGTTCTGGAAATTGTGTAGGAAGGAAGTTTTCTTCATCTCTTCAAAACGAATCGAAAATATAGAAAATATACAAAATTTTTTTTATAGATATTTTCAATAATTTTTCAATTAATGAAATGAATACATTTTCGTAACTTATTTTAATATACCAAATCTAGACTGACATACAAATTGTGCTTTAATATTCACTGTATTTACTGATGTTGAAAATCTATAATGCACATAATGTATACTGTTGATTTTCAATATTAAATTATGAACAAAAATTCATAGCGCTATTTCATTTGTATTATGTCTACATATTTTTTTTTTGCAATTGTATTGGCAATTATATAATATAATTAACAATTGTATTATATAATTTTTAATTGGCAATTATATTCGATAGTAAAATTTTAGCTTTAAAAATCTGTTTTTTTAATTGTAGTACACGCACGCGCGATGATTTTTAACGGAGTTGTCAGTAACTAAAAACCAAAATGCTTCTTTTATTTAATCTGCGATAACAGGAATAAAAAATCTTAGGAATATAAAAAAACAATTTTGTAGAAAAAACTTTAAGTTTTCATGTTAAAACATTAAAAATTTTTGCAAGATTGTTTTGAGCACGGATCACAAAGTGAGAATAAAATTTTCCACCTTATTCAACTTATAGTTTTCTATATACAAAAATTACCAAATTCATAGAAACAAAAAAAATAATAGATCTTTTAAAAGTTCAGATTTTAAGCTTTAAAATGTTCCATCTTATCATATTCATTAAATAGTTGCTCCATTTGCACAGAAATGAAATTAAATCTAAAGTGAGTTGAATATACTCAGATTAATGACGTCATAATCTGCTTACTTTGGTAAAAAATTATCACATAACAACGCAGAACTTCACTTTTAAAGTGAGTTTACGAGAATCACTAAAGCACACGGTCTCGATCTTGTGAAGATTATAGACAAAAAGTTAAATCTCACTTATCAAAATGCAAAAGAAACGCGCATTCAACTGAGTTTTATGACGTCACAAGTGAGAAATATCTGAGAATCGGTGTAAATGGAAAGCAACTAATATCATCGGTTTTTTTCCCGCGAAGAAGACGACCGACGTCATTGATGCTGGTTAGTAAGTGCCTCTTGTTTGATTTCTACCGATAATTCGTATTTAAATTCCATTCGAGATGATCGTAGATTTTTCTTAAACGAGATCATGTCGCCGATTTTTTTTTTAAATTTAAATTTTCTTTATTTTTAAGTTGCTTGAATTTTAAAGTTCGTAGCGTTACGAACTTTTGTTTCCAATACTAATAGTAAATGAAGGAATGCAATTATAACAAAAATAACAATGTAGTCAGATTTAGTGAATCCTAACAGATTTTGTGGCGTTTACTCTATGTTTTCGATTTACTTTTACAGAAGAATCATCTCTTTGTATTACAATTTCTAGAACATCCTGTATTTAATTGTGTGTGCGCGTGTGTTCGCAAGCAGGTATAGATCCTTTCTCTCAAGAGGAACAAAATATTCTGAAATTAGATTCAAGAATGTTCCCGATTTCTCACCATCTTACCTCACTAAATTTTTATTCGTAATTATCCTAGCCTTATAGTCTATAGCCTACGTATTAGAGCTCCAATCGCCTTCCATTCTCCAGACGCTAAACGCATACGACAGTCTCTCATGTGCCATGTAATTACTCGGTGACGCCGCGATCTCCTTCGTAGCCAAAATCGCACTCCGGGTGCCCTTCTCTGAAACAGATATTTTTCATCTCTCGTTATTCAATGCACATACAATCGTATAGCATCTTCTTTAAGACAATTAAAAGAATGTAATCATCATTTAATATAATTGCAATCTGATACATCGAGTTTTTTTCTTCCTTAGAAGGTCGAAGAAAATGAAAGAAAGCTTATATTATTGAATTTTACTTATTTGTTTCATGATAGGGAAACCTTCCTGTTTATCCAGTAGTTTCGACTTCCACATTATAAATATAACAAAATTTTTTTTTATCTTTTTTATATTTCTTCAACATTTATTTCGTTTCTGGGAAGATCCACCATTATTCTTTCGGCAAAGTTTTATTTCGACAAAGAGATATAAGAGTGAAGACTGAGGAGAAGAGCAGACGAAAGAAATCGAAGGGAAAGAAGAGACCGAAGGGGATCGTTACGATAATTCTGTCTGCATATAATGCCAGCGCTACAAAATAAAAGGGAAGCGGCTGTATCGCGCTAGGAGAAAACTTCGAGGAGAAGAGGCTGAATAAAAGAAAGTACGGAGTATATATATTTCCGTCTCGCAAAATTCGTGTCGCGGGAACCGGGAACGACGAGCCAATCGGCGCCGACATCAAGTCGTTAAGCCTGGGTATCGTTAGTCACGCCGAGTTACAAGTGCGTGCCCGCTATTCTGCGTGCACCGGGTGGTTTACGTCGCTCGGCTGAGATAAGGATGAACCGGGGAAGATTTGTGACTACGATGATCCGGATAAAGTTTCAGCCATTCAGCCATTCATTCGAGATGCCGTCGTTCGCGATTTATTTCGAGTCGATTTCTACTTCGCTCATCTGTAATTATACAGCCTTGGCTATTTGAGTATAAAGCAAATAGCCAAGGCTATATAATTACAGATAATATTTATTTTTATGATAATTTTAAAATTTATTATCTTTCTTTTAGCTTTTATTAGTGTCAGTACCCTTTTGAAGGAATATATTGAGATATCTTCAATTTATTCCTTCAGTGTATTCCTTCAAAAAGATATTGGCGCTAATAAAAGCTAAAAGAAAGATAATAAAATTATTATCAAAATAAATCTTATTTTTCAATAAAACTGTTTTTTTAATTTAATTATGAGAAATAAGTTTATTTTCGATCAAAGCGGATTTTAGTGCTTCAATATTTCAGAGTTTATATACATATTCCAATATTCTGTAAATTTTTTTCGGTTTTAAAACTCAATCATAAATAGAACCAAAATAGTAGTATTAATCATCGGTTTAATACAAATTATAATTGATTCTTAATTCCTTTTTTATTTAAATAGAGCGTTTACGATCACAATTTTTGGGGATGCTTTATACTTATAGTCAAGACTGTAACTCTTATACAGATATCTTTCTACTTTTTAAACAATTACTTCAATTTATGAATTTTCAGATTTACGACCAGTATAAGCTAAAAGTAGGAAAAAAAATGAAGAATAAATTAAACCGAGATTAAATTTAATCTACATTTGGTGGAAACGGGTATTAATTTACTTTTTACGCCTTGTAATTATTTATATTCAGAATGTATGGTTAGTAATACAAATCATTATTACTAAAAAAAGGGGAAAAAATATATTTATGCCCATTTCTATCACTATTATAAATTAACTTTAATTTTGGTTTAACTTACTTTTTATCTTTTTCTAGTTTTAAGAAAAAGAATAAAGAGTAACTAAAGTAATATTGCTAGAAATGGAAATATTAGTATCATATGATATTATTCGATTATTATTCACAACCGAAATCTCATCATAATCCTGTCGTAAGAGAAAGATATCTGCATATAGAGATATCTGCATATTAACAGGTTTTAATAAATTATTATGATTTATTACAATTTTTTGTCTTTTTATTACTGAAACATATATTTCACATGTTTATGCTTCCGAGTTGTTAATGTCATCATAGAACGTTGTCCCGAGCTATGATTCGAGTATCCACAATTTCGAGTGACGGTAGGAGAGCCGTCGCGTTAAATGTCGCGTTTGTTTGTTATTCCGAACGTTAAAAATCAAACGGCCCGTACGAGGAATTTAATCCTCGCTGGTCCATAAATATTATGAGAACAGTGAATCGCGTACGCGCGTAATACATGAGAGCAAGCTCCTTCAGTGAGGCACTTTAGTAACGACGGCGTGAGTGCTCGTCGCGGGCTCGTCGTTCCGATCTCGTGTAAATTACGAGAAAAAATCCTCCGAGACGGCAGTCTGTTTAATTAACTGGGAGCCACCCGACTCGCTATAAACACGTACCTACCACCCTGCGGAGAAGGTGCCGACGGAGACAATCCTCGGGCGTCTTTCTAAACAACGTGACAACGTGTAGCGGTAGCGTAGCTTCGTAGCATACTTTTTGTACAAGAAGAGAAAAGAGCAAGATGGAAAGAATAGTTTTGCTGAAGTATCTACAGATAGAAAAATACATACTGTATACAAGTAATATCTACTTGTTTCAAATATTTCAAAAAAATTTATATATCCACAAATTTATCACAGATTCATTATAAATATCAAATTTATTCAAAATGTAGGTATTCTAAATCCTGTGAGTTTAATATTTCAATCAAGATAATTGAATTAAAGCAAATTCGATTTGTTTATTATATAAAATTATACTACTTTGATTAATTTTATAATATTCTTGAAAAAAAAAAATAAATTTTTGTTTTACATAATAATAATACGTTTTTATATATCAAAATTTCTGAAAAGAATATTTTATTATAAAAAAAATTCTTTGTTAAAATAACTGTTATTAAAAAAAAGAAAGTAAATTGAGTAATCACTTTTCTTAGCAATAAAATAATAATAAAATGATATTTTTCTGTATGTAAAAATTTAATTAGATATAGATCTGAAAATAATTTTATTAGACTATCAAAATAATTGTTGAACGCTGAAAATGATTGCTAGCATATCAAAATTTTTTTAAACACTTTTCATTATGCTTGAGCGTTCTTCATAATTATTTTGATAGTCCAACGAAGTTATTTTCAGATCTGCATCTAATTAAATTTTTATATATGTACTCCAGCAAAACCATTTTTTTCATATACTAAAAGAATAAAACATAATCCAATGTCTTAATACGTCGGCACCAAATGATCTCTTATTTTTAATTTTTCATCTCCATACATCTCTCTCTCATTACATTTATTTATGTATTAAACATTACGCACGTATTTCTATGTAGCGAAGTGGAGAAAGATTGATGAAACTATTGGCTACATTCAGTGAAGAAAACTGCTTAACAACTATTGCAAAATTCTTCACTATGATTGTGATTTATACACTTAGATCCATAAGGAACCAAAGGCAGGAATCAGTCGTATTAAGGAATTTTACAACAATAGCAAAGCTGCTTTTTCTGCTGATGAACGCAATCATTAAGAAGTATACATACAGTTTGAGCGTAGATCCGGCTATAAAAAGTATTGTATGAATGCAAAAGTCGTATCTTTTTTACAGTCATAAATGTATTCAGAAACTAAATCACGTGCAAAACCCATTCTTTATATAAATTATACATATATTATATATATATTAGAGATCATGATTTTGAACGTACATCAGAGATACATGTGTATTTAGATATACGTGAAAAAGATCACTAATATAATACATACATATATAGACATAAATTTAAAAAAATTCTTGTACACTTGTGAAACTTTAACAATAAGTTTTTACAAGACATAGTTAACATTATGTTTTATCAAAATTCTTACTCAGATTTCAATATGTAAAAAATAAATAAAATATAGTCCAGTTTTTATTTAAAAACTTATCGTTAAAGATTTCACAAGTGTACAAGAATTTTTTCAGATTTTTATGTAGAATCATAAAAAATATATGCTGTTTCTTTCAACGGCCCAGAGTATAAACTGATCGAAAATTTCGAGATTGTGCAGGAGGAATATATATTCACTCAACACAGTTCTCTAAAAGACTTAGGAACATTCTCAAGATGTTCATCGGAGAAATATGTTGCGTGGATATAACTAATAGAAATAATTAGTTAAATCATCGTCAATAGCACTACTCAATCGACGTCGATTAATCATTTCTGACTGAGAAAAAGAAGAAAAGAGAGAGCACACTAAACCGACGTTTTGCTTCATAGACAGCGACATTTGTGCTTGCAAACATGATTGGAAACAAATCAAAACATAACGTGTTTTGAAGCGAGAGAATGAACACTTCTCGGGTATTTCTTTCAAATCTTCTGTATCGACTCGTACAACGTTTAATCCTCGAACGGATTTACATCTCGAAACATCTATATACGCGTCCTCACCACCTACATATCACCCGCTACACTCATCGAAATTACCTGCGTTCTCGCCGCACTCGGCGTTTTCAGTGTTGGTCTTGAGCACGTGGAACAAGAAGTCGATGTATCTAGCGGCGAGCTTGAGCGTTTGGATCTTGCTGAGCTTGTCACTCGGTAGAGTCGGTATAATCTTCCTAAGCGCGGAGAACGCCTCATTCAAGCTTTGCGTCCGCTGACGTTCACGGACATTCGCCATCGCCCTTTGATTCTGAATCTCCTGGTCGTTCTTGCGACGCACCTTCGTCCGCGTCGTCGAGGCTGTCGTGGCCTCGCTGTCGGACTCGTTGCTGTTGCAACAACCGTTGCTGCTGCTGCTGCTGCTGTTATTGTTGCCGCTATGCCGCCTCTTCCTCCTGACAGCCGTTCTGATGCCACCCTCTCTGTCCCCGTAGCCCTTCGTCGTCGATGACGATGGCTCGGTCACATGGCCGAGCTCTGCGGCCTGTTCACAGCCGTATCTCGCGACATGATCGACCATCCCTTCCTCGATCGCGTCCGATTTGTACTCCGTAACGTCCACATGATGATAAGATCCCGCCTGACCCTGTACCGATTGAACTGAACTGGGGGCACCCATCTCGTCAGCGCCACTGGGTGAGTACACGCTCTGCGAAGACGGTGTCAGGCACAAACTCTGTTGCTCGTGGTCCCTACTGTAATCCGACAGAAACTCGGACGAGTTGTCCGTTGAGTGGAGCGGCCGGTCAAACTCCAGCTGAAAGTCTCGCACGATTTTACTATCCTGGAGATGATGAGGATGATGATGATGATGATATCGCGATTCGTCCGGATTCTTGAACATCATATGAGACAATTCGGTGTATTCTACCGCGACCTGGTTATGCTGATGATGATAACCGGACGATAGAGCATGATGTTGATGCTGTTGCTGTTGCTGATGATCCGGTGGACCACTCAAGTCCATCAGATGCGACACGGGTGGCGTAAAACGACCGTATCGCGTCACCGAGGAATTGCCGTTGGGATTGCCGTCGCCGCCGCGTGGCACCGTGCCGATGACACAGGTGCCGTCGTTGCCACCCTGGATCCCATTGCTGTGCAAAATATAGTAACCCGGCTGTGCTGTCACGCACTGGGATGCCGGCGTCGGCACCGGCGGCGGTTGCGGTACCGTCGCCGCACCGCGCATACCTCCGTTCGTTTTATCAACACATTGGACACCGTTGAAGGTCCGCGCGCGAACTGAAGACACGAGATGTTGGTAATTCCCAGTCTGCTGCCAGGTACGAAGCGCGGAGCCACCGCGATTGTTGACACCCATCCACTGTTCAGTAAACGCCAATACGCGCGAGCCACGTATCAGCGCGAGGCATGTGTTGATATCGCGAATGATCCGCACGATCGATCGCTTGATTTGTCGATTCAATCAGGCAGCCCGCGCGCGCGAATAGGAATCACGCGAACAAAATCTCCGATCGCGCGAGAATCGACCAAGTTCGACGAAGAAGAAAATCCCCCCGAAGACGTACGATCCTCGTATGCGTTTGTCGCTTAGTCACGTCGCACAGCAACGTCTTTCTCCCCACTTTCTTTCTTTCTTTCTCTCTCTCTCTCTTTCTCTCTCTCTCTCTCTCTTTTTCTCTTTCTCGCTCACATCTTTGAATGTTACTAACAGTCTGAAGAAGAGAGCCTCCAGTGCGATCGCTCATCGTGTCACGCCGAAGGAACGCCTTCAGCGACGAGTATGACTGGTCCCCGACTATCACTTTGTCTCCACCCACGGAGAAGAGGAGGACGAAGTCGAGAAAATAGATAGGTCAGATTGTGGAGGAAGGGATACCAGAAAATGAAACGGAAGACTTCCATGCGCATGTGAGATCCGCATAAGAACGAGATTGATGAGTTGCAATTTTGGAAAAACGTTATGTGTATTTTTCTAGGAATGCAAATGAAATACATAGAAAAAAATAAGATAGAAAAGTTTATGTAAAAAACGCAAAATGATATACGTAATAAACAAATGAGAAAACAAAGGAAAAAAAGAATGAAGAAAAATGCGATCACTTAGATGAACAAATACGGATTGCAATGTCAATTTAAAAATTAGTTAGATACCAGAAAAATATAAGTAGTAAGCAAGCATTTTCGAGAAAATAGATTAGATTGAGAAAATAGATTAGATTGTGGAGGAAGGGATACGAGAAAATGAAATGAACGACTTCCATGCGCGTATGAGATCCGCATAAGAAAGAACGAGGCTGATGAGTAGCAATTTAGGGAAACGTATGCATGTATTTTTCTAGGAATGCAAATGAGATACATAAAAAAAATATGATAGAAAAGTTTATGTAAAAAACGCGAAATGATATACGTAATAAACAAATGAGAAAACAAAGGAAAAAAAGAATGAAGAAAAATGCGATCACTTAGATGAACAAATACGGATTGCAATATCATTTAAAAATTAGTTAGATACCAGAAAAATATAAGCAGTAAGCAAGCATTTTCGAGACAATAGATAGGTCAGACTGTGGAGAAAGGGATACGAGAAAATGAAACGAACGGCTTCTATGGCGTGTGAGATTCGCATAAGAAGGAACGAAGCTGATGAATAGCAATTTTGGGAAAACGTATACATGTATTTTTCTAGGAACGCAAATAAGATACATAAAAAAAATATGATAGAAAAGTTTATGTAAAAAAATAAAGCAATAAACAGACATTTTTATTTGCTTATTGCCTTACGTTCTCGACTGTAATTGACCAATTGGTTTACTGACGGAAGCACAATCTTGCACAATGCATAAAATTAACCAAAGTCCTCCATTTCCTTCCTTCACATTAAATAAAAAAAACTCTAATTAGTCGATTTTCCTAAGTCTTATGCATTATGTATTATGTAAGAATCTATACTCCTTTACTATTTAGCTTTTTATACACTGAAAAAAATATTACCAAATCTTAAATACATATTTCTTTAAATAATACTAAGTAAATATTTACTTACAGTAAACAATAAATATAACAAATAAATTACAAAGTTTGATAAAATTACTTCTTATCATTTTTTCATTCTCTACAATCGCAGCGTTTATTTGCACATATTTATCACAAATGATATACTGATAAATATTATTAAATAAATGCATACAAGTAAATGTTTTAATTGCAAACGGCCAATTCATTATGACGTAATCGTACTATAGTCGTTTTAGGATTGATTATAAAGGCCAAAAAAACTATAAAATAGATATATTTTAGAAAAAAAAAAATATATTTTCTAAAAATATATTTAATATTACATATTATATATACATGTATTTATACAAGATATTTGAGATTATATACAGGGTGTACTGAAATAATGCCTATTAATAATGCTATTCCTAATAAAGGCTGAGTCGAAAAGTTCTCTGTTATTTTACAATTTTTGCAATGCTTTTTTGGTTATCCAATGAGCAAAATATCTAAAATCAATGTATAAGATAACTTTAAAATATCTTTAAAGCTTATTCTACAATGTGCTCTTTGTTTCCTGTTTCTTGTTTTTTTTTCCTTTATAATCGTTTTATCGGCAATTGTGTTTCTTGCTATGTATTTCTTATTTCTTTCGAAGTTCGTTAATTTTTATCTCGGGCAACATAAAATAAGATACCAGATAAGAAGCAAAAAAATGAGATGTAAAAAATAGCATGAAGCAAAAAACGGGAACAAAAAGCACATTGTAGAATAGACTTAAGAGACATTTTAAAAATATTTCACAAGGATCACTAAAAAATATCGTAAAATTACATCGATTTTATCCATTTATTCAACAATCTTTAGAAATTAATATCTCGTTAACTATTGCAAAAATTACAAAATGGTAGAGAACTTTTCGACTTAGTTTTTTATTAGAAATAGCACTGTATGATTAGAGGATTATTTCAGATATTCTGAATATATATATATATATATATGTATATGTGTGTGTATAAGATATTTGAAGGATTTAATATAAGATATCATTGAATAGCGAATATATTTACCTAAAAATAATAATAATAAATAATAATAAATAAATTATATAAAAGTAATATATTTCGTCGGCTAAAAATAATCGCGGAACGCAATGTTACATCGGGGATGTGATGTATCGACATTTTTCAAACCCTTGCAACTCGGAAGCCGGAGCGAGGATGAAAAATCAGCGATCAGAGTTACGACGCAGCCAAAAATAGGTAGAACCCTCGCAGCCTAAAAAGTACATTCCTGACTAAGGAAGCAGAGAGCGAAGCGGGCAAAAGAAGTCGAGAGTAGAACGGCTTTTTTAAAAATATAATATTTCCTCCGACGCAGTCAAAGATGCGAATCGCGAGAACTCACTCGAGAGAGACGTTTCCTTGCTTCGGCAGAATTTTTCTTGTTCTATATTTATAGTCAACTTGAGAATTCATTTTAACTAGGTTCAATCTTTTATTTCAAAAACGCTTCTCAAATCATAATTAAACAAATTTACAACAAATAGGAAATGAAGACTAAACGACCAAGCTGAATTTTTAATGCTTAAGTAATTCGATGTGAACCTGACCTGAATATTTATGTATATCCAATCCTGCAAACTACGTGCCGAATTTAATTTTCAGTCTTAAAACGTAACAATTTCTAACTAGGAGTAGTAATGTCACAAATTAAATTGACAATCAATTTAATAGTATAATGCTCACAAACACACCTCCGAAACCAGAAAGATCTTAATAATCTGATTCTGATAAACATTTTAAAACCTGTAAATAATTATTTATTACGAAAAATATTACCTCAGTATATGATTAAATAAATCCAATTTAAATATTCAAACTTTGATTCTAACTTGATTCGTCTGAAATAAGGATTAATCGCGGATCGATCTATGAATACGGATCTCTAAATCCACTGTGAACCAGTTATAGAGCTTAGACTAATGTTCTTTTCACTGGCTGAATTGGTATCGATGGCTTCGCGATATAAATTAATGCGGCTCACTTATTCGGAAGCGCGAATGATAGATAGCCGCGTTGGATGCGCCGCGACGTGTTTGTTGTGACGGACGAAAGCTCTTTAGAGGATGTCTATATAAATTCCGACGTTTCTCTAACTTTCTTGTGAACCTCCGCCTTGCTTCCTCTCGCCACGTCCGTGATTTAGCATTTCGTTCGACGTCGCGCCACGCCTAAGGAATATTTAGTCGCGAGGGAGGCTTCGAGGGAGAATCGGGGTCACGTCTTTGTTTGCCAGTCTTTGGTCTCGATCGATTTGGTCGATTGAAATCCATTTTAAGTGAAAGCAAAGTTTAAAATATCTTAATTGTGAATGTATAATTATATTATCGTATGTACATAATTTACGATCAATCCTTAAATACCTTTATGGCATACTCGGCTTTTCGTTTTCAATGCTTTTTGCAAGCACAATTTAAATTTATATGTTATTTCTATAAAAATTAAAAAAGGTATATATATCTAATCCAATTTAAACTCATAACCTTTTTCTAATTTAAGCTCATAAACTTTTATAAAAATAACATATAATAACAAAAATTTTTTTAGAAACATTAAATATTAAAGAACGTAACTATATATAAGCAAGCAAATTATGTTGTTCCAGTAGTGAGGCGTTTAAGGATTGTAAATTTTTATTTTTGCACATGTAGGAATTATTAGATATAAAAGATTATGAATTTTGTCCTGAATTTTATTTCAAACAGCAAAAGAAATCACGTAAATAAAAAAATATTTGTAATTTAAATATTTTCGCTTATCCAATTCTGAGAAATTAATTCTTATTCCTTTTATGTGATTATTTACAACGCGCTTAAAAGATGGTAGCGAAAACAAAGTTTTGACAGTCAGAGTAGATTTTGGCGAGCCGGCCGATTTGTTTCCCCGAACTAATGGCGAGCTTTGAACGACTCAATCGTCGGTATCGTGACGGTATTAGCGGATGAATATTCGTCGCTCGTCGGATCGCGCTTCTAGGAATCGTAATACAACCGACGGAAAGCCGTAAGCTGCCATTTTGGCGACGATCCAACCACGAATCGGATCGCCAATGGACAGGTCGATAAATAACACGGCCAAATACCAAAATAATACCCGGCGATCAAAAGCAAAAATTTCGGAGGCTTTCCGGCGCGAGAGAATATATTTTCTGTAATCTTTCTCATTTGTTCTTCCTATCTATATATTAGTCCAGGAACAACATAATTTGCTTGTTTATATCGTTACGTTTCTTTAACGTGATGTTTCTATTAAAAAAATTTTTTTTCCAATATATTATTTCTGTAAAATAAAATTATGAGCAAATTGGGTTAAGTATATCAAAATTGATCCAAAATGTCAACTAAATAAATTTTCATAAAACTTTCATTAAACGTTTTACTGAATCATAGAATCATTCGTGAATCATACTTCCACTTATGTAATCGTATCGTTCTTGTAATCTCTACATAAAATCCTTTCCAGTATTATATGATTCTATAATCCAGTAGTACGTATTTTCTGTTTAATAAAAGTTTCATGAAAATTTATTTAGTTAACCACTTTGAACTAATTTTGGTATAAAAACTTTTAAATTTCTTTAATTACTCAGCAT